AATGCAAGATAATGCTAATCTTTGCTATAACTCCGTTCATAAACAGTTTATCTCTTCAATATTTAATGTAATTGTATTTTTCATGTTATTACTATATTTCAAGTCTGGATCCATATTCCATGTGACTGCAGACTTGAAGTTACAGCCCTCTGGTGTAAAATGGGGGTGATAACTGATGATATGGATATCAAAGAATGAAAGAAATAGGGCAAATGAAATTTAAAAAGGCAGAATAAGGAGAGGAGAAAGAGAGAGACAGAGAGCAACACGAATTTCTGCGAAATTCCACGGGGTCCTGCTTGTAATGATATTCATAGGAATAACAATACTGATAATAACAAAAGCAACTTTAGCAATAACAACAAAGATAGGATAGAGCTCGAAAATATCATCCAAATATCTTTTTCCTTTATAAAGAAAAAACTCAGAAAAAGAAAGGCAAAAAAAGAAAAAAAGAAAAAAGAGAGGAAAGAAAAGAAAAAAGAAAAGAGAGAAAAAAGGCAAAAGAAAGAAAAGAAAAGAGAGAAAAAAGGCAAAAGAAAGAAAAAAATATGGTACAAAGTGGCTGAAAGAGAACTGAGTGTTGTTCAGATCAAGAGTCAAGAGGCCTTAGGATGCAAAACACTCCAGGAGAGAGAGTGAGAAGCGTTTACTCTGTAGAGACTCTCAGCCGTGAAAGTCGAGAGAGAGAAAAGTTAGGGAAGAGGAAGGGAGGGAGAGGGAGAGGGGGAGGGAAGGGGGGAGTGGGAGAGGGGGGGAGAGAGGGAGAGGGGAGAGGGAGGGTGGAAAGTTAGGAAAGGAAGAGGAAGGAGGGGAGGGAGAGGGGAGGGAGGGAGTGGGAGAGGGAGAAGAGGAGATGGGAGAGCAAGACAGGGAGGGAGGGAAAGGGGAAGGAGAGAGAAGGAAGTAGTGAGAGGGAAAGGAAGGGAGGGAGGGATGACAGGGGAGAGAAGGAGGAAGGAAAGCGATAGGAGGGGAGAGAGGAAGAGAATGGAGGGGAGGGGACGGGAGAGAAGGAGAGGAAAGGGAGGATGGGAGAGAGGGATGATAGAAAGAAGGACAAGAGAGAGAGACAGAGAGAGAAGAGAGAGGGGGGGAGAGGGAGGGAGAAGAAGAGAGAGAGACAAAGAAAAGATAAGATAGACATATAGAGAGACCATTATAAGGAGGAAAGTACTCATACTTTTACTGAGACGTACAAAACTCATTACCGGTAGATTTTTCTTTGGGAAAAAAAATGTTTCTCTTATCGTTTGTGAAGAAGTTGAAAAGGGAGAAATTGGAGATAATACGGGAGAAAGAAAAATATTAGATAGGTAAATTGATAGATATATACATGGATTGCATACATACATACAATACAGTACATACATTACATACATAATACATACTACATAAACATAGGGTTCATACATGATACATACATTTCATAGATATCTACATAGAGAAAAGAGAGAGAGAGAGAGAGAGGGAGAAGTTGAAAGAGAGTGAGAGAGAGAAGGAGGAGAGAGAGAGAGAGAGAGAGAGAGAGAGAGAGAGAGAGAGAGAGAGAGAGAGGAGAGAGAGAGAGAGAGAGAGAGAGAGAGAGAGAGAGAGAGAGAGAGAGAGAGAAGAGAGAGAGAGAAGAGAGAGAGAGAGGAGAGAGAAAAGAGAGGAGACTCCAGAGGATGACCAATGAGAGACCAAACCAACCAAACACACATGTAACAACCCCCCCCCTTTCCCTCCCTCCGACAAAACCAAACAAGCAAATGACACCCGCAGCCCCTTAACATAGCTCCCTCCCTGAATGACAGTCCTCACTCTCCCAGCCTGACCGTTCAGCCTGAATGACAGGGTTCATCTATCTCCCTGTCACGCTCTGTTACCTTCGTGTCACTGTGTCAACGTCCGTTTAACCTGGACACCTGTCATGCTGTCAAGGCCGATTGAGACCTAGAACTGTCAAGCTAGGTAAGAGAAGTCATTCTTTCTTCCCGTCATGCTGGCAGAGGACTGAACTCGTCATGCTGTAGACAAGGGGGGGGGGGGGAGGGTAAACTATTGGTGTTGGTTTGATCGCATCATTTTGCTGTTTGATTTTCTTTTTTTTTTTTTTTTTTTTTGGGGGGGGGGGGGGGGGGGGTGGCAAAGGAGGGTGGCCCTATACTG